ACAAACTCATGGCTTAGAACCGCATTGGAACGGCTTGATTCATTGTTTTCAAATAATTACGACGTGATCGAGCGTTTGCTTTTTAATAAGAGATTCATCCCCTGAGCCATTCCAAATACTCTCAGAGGTATGACATTGCATGAAAAAAAAAAAAATCAACATGCTGGTAATATTTTTTATTGCTTATTCAATCACCGAAAAATTCTGTACGTTAAGAACGACCAGTATAAAAGACGGAAACGCAGGGCACGGGTGTAGTGTTCGGACTAGGGTGGTGTGCCGCTGTATTCATGTTTGTATGTGCAATGTATGTGTATGTGCTCAATGTATGTTCACCTGATGCTTGTACTATGCGTAATGTGTGTATAGTAGAGGATCCCCATGTGCAATAGTGGGCTGAGAAAACAAGTATTTTTTTGTAGAGCATGAATTAGTAGGTACCTCGCGCCGCCTAGCCGAGCAAGTTGCAATTACTCTGCTTGACCCTGCCATCTGGTGGCAAGCGATTTAACCTTCTTTCACGCTACGCGCTAAACAGCGGCTTCGAGTTTGTTCTTTTGAGAGCGACTTTTGGTTTCGCGGATTGGTTTGCCATTTCTCCGTGATGTGCGGTTGGCGAAAAAATTGTGACTCGAGGAACACCAAAGGTAAAATGGAAAGTGCGCGAAGTAACTGGGTATCGGTTGTCTCTGTTTCACATCCCAGTCCTGTCGACGAGAAGGCCGAGTAACTGCTTTCAAAACGCAACTTTCTGTACCTGTGGGTAGAATCTGGCTTCGGAAATAAACACAGTTCACGGAAAGCTCGTGTTACGCTTTTATTTGCTGCTGCTCTCGTCCCGTACACGAGACGTAGCGTCCTCGTTAAAGGGACCATGAAATCACCTTTTTACTTTTTCCAGATAACTTTTACATTAAACCGTCAATGTTCACTGAATGCCGAACAGGCATCCGTTTTCGTCTCGGTTTATTAACTTCTACACAAAAAATTAATGAAATATCGACTCTTTCTTTCTCTCCAACTGACCGCAAAACAAGCCGTGACGTACGGTGTTTCCAGAACCGGAAGTTCTCTCGGCAGTAGGAGAATGGGAGCGTTAGCGGCGACGAGTTGGGGTGCGCAGGTAGGATTTACTGCGCTAATGTGACCGAGGTATTTTCTGAATCGGCGCCTCTCATCGCCGCATCGCAGCTGAGCGAAATTCAATGAGATATGTTGCGCTACAGCGACAGCATGGGACTAGTCCCATACGCCGGTATGCCTGTTGGTAAGTGCAGCGAGTCTTCCGGTGAAGACTCCAGAAGTCAACCCAACTGTCATTGTTGGTAAAAGGCGGCCCGTGTCAGTCGTTTGCAAAGCGACGTAGATGGAAACAAATTGCCGCGGCGTTTTTCGCGGCCTCGGAGATGCAGGAGCGAGCCGACGTTAAAAAAGATACGTTTGAACTACGAGTGTCAGCAAGGGCCACGTAAATACCTGTTCACACTCGGAGCGGACGCGCGCGTTTGATGGAAGTGCTGTATTCGCGCTGTTGGTAAGCGCTTCGGGACCGTTCTTTTACGATTGCAACTCGATACTGACGCGACACTCGGCAAAGAAAGGTTGGACCGGCTTTGCACGTATACCTCCCACGAACTGTTATAGCTAGACAGTGATGTGCAGTCTTTCAGAATAAAAATGGCATACCAATAACAAAGTGTACATACCGTGTTACGAAGGTAATCCATACGGTGTTTATTTCAGCTCTATATCACACAAAACAAGAAGATAGAATCGATGGGAGTCCCTTTTCGACGAGTGTTCGTCAACACTGCCTCGGAAGACAAGGGGAAGAGATTGACCTCACCTCTTAATCTGAAATTGAGGTCAGCGATCAAACTATAATACGGGAAGAGTCCACAAGGGTCGCGCGGGCATATTCCATTCAGCACGCCAGCCGGTCGTAGGCAGACGGTCTTGCGACGAAGCAACGCTGCGCCGAGTCAGAGTGCCTGCTAGGCCTATATTCTGAACAGCTCGCTTCGTCGGAGTCGGTGGATTCGTATCCAGCGTTCTTGTTCGTCGTGGTCTGTTTTTAAGTACTTTTTTTCTTGCTGCTTGAAGTCGGCACGCGCGAGAAGAACACGTAGAAAAATAAACGTTCAATCAGTCAGAGTTTTGTGAGGAAGGAAATCAAAGGAAATAAACGTTCGTCGGTCGTCGCCACCCAAGTAACTGAAGTCGGCCCTGCCCTACTGCGCACGCGCAGTAGTTGCTTCGTTTACCACACGATAGATGGCGCTTGGCTCTCAGCATTATCAAATTTGGCAATTTTCGCCACACATCTCTAATTATGCCACAAAATGCTGATCTGAATATTATTTAACAAAACTTTTAGGAAACATTCGCCGGCTATTTATTGTTTACGATCGCGGTGCTGGTGAGGTAGGCTCTTACCCAACAGGCGACGTGGATTCGGCTGACGTGCTCCGTTTCCGCGGATGCATCGTAGTGAAAAGGCGAAGGAAAGAAGGCGCAAAAGAGTCCAGTTTTCTTTCAAAAGTTCTATAGCAAATGATTTTTTTTGGCTCCCTATTTTTGTGTTTTTGTGTTTTTTTTTTCACACCTTTTACGACTTGCGGTGGATGAAATTCGATTTTAGAATCATTTCATGGTCCCTTTAAGCCTTATTGAGCTCGATTTGCTGGATTCAGGGCCGCCATAATGAGATGCAGGGGACGGAGGAACTTTGCTCCCCTGCTTTAGGGACGAAAGTTTCTCTCTTTCTAAAGGAACATAGGTTACAAAACCGTTCCTCCCCCTAAGGGAGGACTGTCCATACCCTTTTTTCTAAGAGTGTACCTTCGACTGAATCTAAAACTAGCACCATAATAAGTAAAACAACTAGACTTCGTTACACTCGTAAGATAACAACTATAATACACGCACTCATCTGGTTCCCCTGTGCGACATTCATTAATAACAAACATAGAAACACTTCAATATAGCGACATCTGATTCATATTTTTGGATTCCTCGCGAGAAACAAACAATTATTCGTTGCAAAAAAAAAAAAAAAATGGCCTTGACCTGCTTTCCTGTAGAAGAACATTGTCACGCCTGTCTTTTTTTTCACAAGAGTTGTTATTCTGACAACCATGACATCACATCTTTATTCTTATTTCAAAGCCACCCCCATATTTCATCGCTGTAATAACGTCTGTAAGGTCCGTCCAATTTTAGTTTCATAGGTCTCTTTTCTTAACTACACCTTGCTGTAAACAAGAACTGACTGGAATACAGATCATAGCACATTCATATCCCAACTAACCAACCATTCACATTTGCACTAATAGCAAATTCGATTTGTACTTTTAGAAATGTTTTATTTGTGTGCTTTCTCTATTTAATTTGCTTTTTCCTCAAAGTGTCTGAGTGTTCATTTTCCTGATTCTTTGCTTTATATAACCATGTTTCCAACTTGTACCCCCCACCTTGTGTAATGCCCCTCAGGGCATTCAAGTTTTAATAAATGATGATGGTGATGGTTTGTCATAATGGCTGTGGATAGAACTGCAGTTTAAAGGCGGCCCGGCCCATACAACGAGTACTTTAATTGAAATAATATTTTAGTCAGTTAGCCAGCTACTCGTGATGGTTATCACTTCACGTAATGTCCGCCGAGGTTGACAAACACACGGTGAACACAGCACTTCTCTAACTCTGAATCATTTTCAAAGCATGACATGCTTTTTAGCGACACCCGCCAATCCCAAAATACTGTCCGTCCGTCCCGACCGTCCGTGTATTTCCCGCTAAATTTAGCGGAGAAATTCAATCGGTGTTAAGGTCACGTGCCGCCAATCGATGTCACGTGACCTGACGTCACGTGATATATACACGAATTAAATTTTGCGCCAAATTTAGCGGGGAAATTAATGTCGGGTGACCTGACGTCTGGTCACCTAAACACCAATTCATTTTCCCTGCTACATTTAGCGGGGAAATTGACGTAACCTCACCTGACATCCCGTCAACTATACACTAATTTACTTTTCCAGATTAATTTAGCGAAAAATTTGCCGTCCGGTGATCTGACGTTACAAGACACCATATATAATTTCCCCATAAAAATCTAGCCAAAATATTTTCGTCAAATGACCTATATACCAAATATGTTCCTCCACCCGATTTGATGGGGAAATTGATGACCCGTAGCCTAAACACCTTCCGTCTCCCCGCTAAATTTAGCGGGGGGATTGACGTCACGTGACCTGACGACCCGTGACATATCAGTTAAATTTCCCACTAAATCCACCAGGAAACCGGACGTCACGTGACCTATACACCGATTGAGTTTTCCCGCTAAATCTAGCGATAAAATTGACGCCAGGTGACCTATTCACCGACTTTCCCCGCTCAATGAATCGACGGAGAATGATAAAACTAAGGTTTTCCTTCACTCCCAGAAACGACGGCTTAATCTCTTCTAAATAACATTAAACGATCGCAGCTTAAATACTGTATTTCAAGCATTTTAAAACTAAAATGTCAATAATGCCAACTTTTTACATTTCTTCAGATTAAAGTCAAACATCTTGTATAACACGTGACATCTGACAGAAAACTCATTAGAAAAAAAAAAACATATTCTGATATAGTTCTCGTCCCTTCTATCCTCCTATTCATTAAATGGAAATTGATAAATAAGGTCAAACCCTGACGAAATTTAGAACCCCTATATGTATTCTGCGAGGACTTCGTTTCTTTATTTTTTTATTAATCAGCAGGCCCGCTTTTTCGTACCGTGATCTTTAACGAGGGGACCTTGATACGCGACACGAATTGTTACGCTGGTTTTGACCACTTAAAACGATTGGAGTTCGCGGTGGCCTTCCCAAAACAACGGGCATAAAAAAAGCAAAAAAAAAAAAAAAAGAAATGTGATATACAGGTGTCAAATATCAAAGGTTCTCGTATTTTTTCAGTTTTTTTCTTCTTTTTTTAAGGGTTGGATTACTTGCGACAAACCGACCAGCAGCGTCCTGACGAGCAGACGGCTCTTTGAAGGCCGACGAGGAAAGTCGGGGAAAAAAGCGACTCGGCGCAGTTGTAGGGTCGAACACGCGCCCGCCATCGTGTATTCTACCGTGTGCGCCACCGGCTGCCGGAAAATCCTGCACCCTTGCGTTGCATCGCTTTGAAGTGAGTTGAATATATGTTCTTTTTCTAGATTGCTGAAGTAATTGGGCGATTTTTGGCGCAGCAGCGACGGAGGCCATCGTGCGCCACTTTTAAATCGCTGCGTGAGAGCTTATTTGAAATCAACGAACGCACCTTGAATGAGTGCGTGTTGCGAGAGTTTAAAGATATCTAGTTTTACTAGAACTGCTAGCACTACTTGCAGCAGTAGAGTATTATTAGATTTAGTGTCAGGACAAAAGTGGCTGTGCGCAAGACGGTTCTCGGGATTATAATGTATTAAAACTGTCTAGAGTTATTCTCAACTGACAGCATAAATATTATTTATCGAACAAAGCGTTGCCTACGAGCGGTAGACTAGAGACGAAAAAAAAGTGCATTTTGATGCGATAATCTCCCTTGACTCATAGAAACATGCGGTAGAGAATCGTCACATTCAGAGGGTCAGCGTTGAGTTTCAACATTCAGTAATTTGTCATGATTATATTTCATATTGGAACGCGGGGCTCTTTATAAGGTTAGCGCGCCGAGTTCACACACGTGCCCGATTCGTGAACCTAAACTTAAGATATAACCGAGGTGTAAGATATTATATATATATATATACGCAGAAGGCGGCGCCACCAGATGAACGTTCGATACGCGAATAGTGGCAGCCTCTCACGGGCCCGGTTTTCCGTGCTTCTCTATGGGAGTCATGCTTGTACGTAAAGTCGTTTTCTGGATGCGCCACGCGTTTTGCTTAGACGCTGCTTCGTCATTAACCAGAACGAGGGCAATAGAAGTTTCATTAAGGCGTTGATGCGGAGAGATATCTGACGCAGTGTTCAAAAGCCAGCGTCCGTCAAGTTCAAAGCGTACGCTCCGAAGGGAAAGAACGGGCGCCCGTAGGAGACTTCTTATTTTATTCTCTCTGTTGGCTGTCTGGGCGGCGGAGACACTGCAGTTTGACCGAGGCTACTTGGGCGCGTGCCAAGAGGACTTTCCTTGGGGCTCTAAGTCTGACACCCAGTGATAAAGTCGGCGAGATCACCGAACTCTCCGATTTCCAGCGTCAAGGTCAAGAGCAGCGCTGGCCAATGGTCGCGGTCGGGGATCCCGCCGACCTTCTCGTCGAATGTCGACTTAGAACCCCAGGTCGATCGCGTCCAAGCCTTCGCCGTGCTGTGCGTCCTACCTAAATACAGAATGTCTGATATTATTTCGAGCTGACAAGAAGAAAACAGGGGACGAGAAACGAGCTTTGTCTTGACCATGCATTCATTAGTCTCGGCGGACATTAGACGAGGTGATAATCCTCATGATAAGTTGGCGAATTAAATATACTACATTAATCAGCTGCTTAAATATTTGTTTTAAAGGTCGCGTTGGAATTGCCGTAATGACGGTGATTACTTTTAGATGCCTGATCAATATAAAGAAGAATAATTGCGATAACAGATATGATTGAAATATGAATCGTTCGATTCGTTTTTTTTTCCATCACGATTAGCGAATTGCGCGCAAAAAGAACTCATCAAGCCCCACCACAGTGACGCTCGGAGGAGTGACGTGGTCTCTCACCGGAGAAGAGCTCACCATAGAATATCTCACCATGAAACTCTCCGATGCGAAGAAAAGCTCACTGGCCTTTTGACGAATGCCGAGAAAAGCTCACCTGCGAAAATAAGAATCAAGCGTTCACTCAAGTGACGGACGTTCACTCAACCGAAGTATGCTGGGGCGACTTATGCGCATTCGGACATTCTGCGCTTCACTAACAGAGATCATTTTTAAAAGATAAAACCATCCTATAACACGCCAGGCGTTTGCCCAATGGAAGTAAACTGAATAATTTCAATAGAGCGCCAATTAAAAAATAACGGGGGAGAAATATTGCTGCGTGCAGGACCGAACAAGCAACACTCGGGCTGAGTTCCAAATCTTACCCAAATGGATCCGAGTTACTCTCGCGGGCCTTGTCACGTGAACACATAGATTGGAAAACGCTGGACATGGGTATGTTTTAGAACGCCAAGGTTCTGAACTCTTACCCTGGGGCTCTGAACTCGTCAAAAACAAAGTTGGGGCCGAAGTTCACGGAGCGCATTGATTGGACTATCTTGACGATGACTTGGCGCTTTTTTCGCCGGCATCCAATCGGCGCGCTCACGGACTTTCGGCTCCAACTTTGTGTTTGACGAGTTTAGGGCCCCAGGGGCCGTAAACTCGTCAAACACAAAGTTGGGGCCAAAGTTCACGGAGCGCGCCGATTGGACTATACCGGCGATGACTTCGCGCTTTTTCCGCCGGCGTCCAATCAGCGCGCTCCGCGAACTTTCGGCTCGAACTTTGTGATCGACGAGTTTAGGGCCCCTGGGGCCCTAAACTCGTCAAACACAAAGTTGGGGCCGAAGTTGAGGGAGCGCACCGATTGGACTATCACGACGATGACTCGGCGTTTTTGTCGCCAACATCCAATCGGCGCGCTCCGCCAACTTTCTGTTCCAACTTTGTGTTTCACGAGTTTAGGGCCCCTGGGGCCCTCAACTCGTGAAGCACAAAGTTTGAGCCAAAAGTTAGCGGAGCGCGCCGATTGGACGTCGGCGAAAAAAGCGCGAAGTCATTGTCGCGATAGGCCAATCGGTGCGCTCCGTGAACTTCGGCCCCAACTTTGAGTTTCACGAATTTAGCGACCCAGGAGTAAGATCGAGTAAATTTTGGAACATGGCCTAGGTCACAGAACTCTGGAAAATTCGCATTTATTTTTGCGTGTTTTTTTTTTTTTGCTCAGGGCGTGACTTTTATTATTTCGTCTTGCTTTCCTGCTCATGAAAGTGCCTATTCATTCTCGCCCCGAGCGCACGACGCTCAAACCTTCTTTGGCGAACTTTCGAGATAGTCACTCAGATTAGAGAAGGATCCTGCCCGCTCTTGGGCTTCCTGGTACGTCGCCAAATCACCGCCCGCTTTTCTGCTGCCTCGACGCTCGTTCTTCATTTTGTTTGGCACAAGTTTCCGATTAAACGTTTATTTTCAGTTTACATTTGCCGAGCCCCTTTCCATCCGGGAAAATATAACCAGTGCAGAGGGCATCAGCTTGTGCAGTTTCTGATTATGTATTTATAAAATGACCTTTTACGTAGTATCCCGACAACGGATAGGCAAATCTTCTCATTTCTCAATTATTACCTTATTTTAATGGACAATAAAAATGCCCTATTTCCCCTATCCATGCAACGTCAAAATTAAATATGGTAACACTCGCGCGAAATGGGTGTATATAAAACGGAGTGAGGCGACACCGTCAATGCGGAGAATAGAAATCAAGATTATTTAAATCGTGATTTATATCAGACCGGTTTTACTTGGATGATTTAAGGCAAACCTTTCCAGCAAAAACTGTCACAAAATATGTATTTTTTATTTACCGTTTGTTCATCATGTGATGCTTTTTATGCACATATGTTCCTTATTTATACTAAACAATTATCACGCACGTAATGTTTATATCGGGCTGAATACGAGCAAAAAGGCAGTTGTCTTCGGAGCATATCGATGCGTTGGGCTTCATTTCTACCTTCGACTTCGTTCGTCAGTTACGTCCCATTTCTTAGCAATCAAATCGGAACGCGAAAGATAAGTACAAAAACTGATAAAGGAATGTTGAGTTGCAAGACAATCAAATCACACAAAAAAATATGCTTTTTTTATTAACAATAAGCTAAGTTGTTTTTGCTTTAGTATGGCGTGGTTTTCATAAACAAAAGGTTGTTAAAATTGCAGTCATTTTCTTTCGCATTATTTTCACTGATTCGAAGATTTTATCAAACTATCCAGTGTTTAAAAATGGAAGTAGTGATAAATGATCAATGTTGCTTGGTACGGTTATTTGAACCAAATAAATACAATATAACTTAAATAAATATGAATTTAATTAAACATAATTGATTTAATTAATTTTTTTACTTACAATTTTTTTCTAACCTGATGTGAGGTGTGTACTCTGGGACAGTGTCAACATAAACGAGTGATGGGCTTTTTGTTTACTTTCTTAGATTTTATAGTTTGCCATAAAGACTGCTAGTGCGGATGAAATTGCTCATTCGGGGCACAAACTGGTGCAATCATACTTTGACGCTGGTCAACCCCTCCTCTAAGTAAAATGCGAAACATCGCTTCGCGCTAACTGTGTTGCAGCGTGTACGACCTGCGTGATAGGAGCCTTAAACCTTGGTAGCACTTTAAATGATGAATACCACCTTACGTAAAAAATGTATTTTGAGGTGAGGTTTTCTCCGGGTCTGTCAGAGACTGGTGAGCTTTTCTCCGAACCCGCACAAAGGTGGGTTAGTTTTTGAGCTTTTCTCCGGTAAGCTTGTTTCCGGTGAGCTTATCTACGGTGAGCTGGTCCTCGGTGATCTCCGGTGAGCTTTTCTCTGGGTATCATTGAGGTCACGTCGTCACTTATGCTGTCAGCGTACTCACCACGCTAACCAAGCACCACCAGGGAAACGCTGCCGAGACAGTAGCGACATGATTAAAACAACGACGTCACTGTTTCCAGCGTGATTGTGGGCAGGGTTTTCTAAACAATCTCTTTTAGAGCAATTTTTGAATCGGGAGACAAAACGCGATATGTGATCGAATAATTTCCAGAAAAAAATCCAGTACCGTTTTGTAATTTGTTTTAATTGATCGTGCCTCTAACAGTGATTGCAGTCAATACTGCAATTTCAACATGACCCATGAAACCATTAATTCGAAAGTTTATTAAGGGATTTTAGTTTATATTCAACTTTCCGTCACGAATATTTTCTCAACTAATGTCAGCCGAGCCTAATAAGTACATTGTAGAAGTAGAGCCAGTCAGCTCTTTCCTGTCGTGTTTATCCATTCCTTCGTCCTAGGTTTTTTTGAAGCTGACTTTAATCAACCATGTTAAACTCTCACCACCTATATATACAAATAAATCCGAGCTGAAATTAAACACCGTGCATATCTTACACCGTGAATGCGATTCACCTCGAACCGGTATTTTTATTTTTTTCGTGCGTTTTCTCGGTACAACTTATTTAGGTCATAAACTTGTTTCGGTAGGCAGCCGACTGCATATATTTAAAATGAACCTGGCAAAGCAAAGCAGTATGTCTGGAAACGTTTCGCAGGGCTCCCTACCCAGCAAGTGTCTACATCTTTCAGGAAGATCGCTGCCATGATTCCTGCTCCGACGTCGGCGTTCTTCGCAGTCTTGGGACTGTCAATCCTCGCTCTGGTTTCCTCTAGCACTCCCACGCAAAGGAAGTACGAGGCAAGGAAAATCTTTTACACAATTTCACATTGAACTGCTTTTTACAACAATAAAAAAGGTCACCTAAGGAGACGGTTAACGCAAAAGGACCTTAGTTTATCATGGCCAACAGGAAAGCACCCCTTCCCATTACCCGGAAGAAAATAGGGAGTTTTGGAGTGCGTGTGTTTGTGTGTCTGTGTGTGTGGGGAGGGGGGGGGGGGCATCAACGTGTTGAGTCATAAACAATTACTCTGGAGTCCCCCAAGCAGCTTAATAAGTCGCACTGGGCATGCGCATACGTTTTGCGCAGGGGCAGTCAGACGTCCCAAGCCGCTTACTGGGCCCAACGCTGCGGTCCCTCTATTCCAGAACTCCCTAATATTCTCATCGTAGGGGACGGAGTGGGGAGTCGGAGGCCCAGAGACAATCCCTGAAAGCTGACAAAGCTGTTTCTCACCACTTTTTGACCCTATGGTGGAATCAACGCAGAAAGAAACAAAACAAAAACAAGGATATAAAAAAAGTAACCACAAAAAACAAACAAAAATACCGGAAGGTCATTTTAATTTGCGACACCAAGCAAAATGAGTTGTCTAATACAAAACAAACGCAATAATAACACAAAAAGGTACTGAACACTGTCAGGGGAAAACCAAGAAACACAGCGACCGCACCGGGGATCCTGCTATCTTCGAGGGGCCATGAAATGATTTTTCACCTTCTTCCTTCTTAGCTTTCCTCCTCAACTCAAAAGCAGAATGAAAACCACGCGGTCGTGGTGTGCTTGGGCTCCGGTACGATGACTCCAATCTTCCACCCTCCGTTTTAAGGACACCATGCTCCTTTTCATTCGCAAGCGACGATGAGTGCCGTCAGGGTACTCATTGGCCACGAACGCGAATCCAAATATTCGTCGACTGAGTGACGCACTGCTCATGTCCAATGTGTGAACTGGTGTAGGCTGACGTGCTTTGGGTACCGCGGATGTATTCGAGTGAAAAGGCGCAAAGCTTTGAAGGAAAGAAGATACGGAATAATCCGCTATATCTTCACATTTTTGTACCGAAAAGCAGGCTATTGCCTATCTTTTTTCTCTCTTTTGGCCCACTAAACAATATGCGATATGTAAGATTCCAATAGAAAATTATTTATCTCAGCCCAACAATTATTTCATGGTCACTTTAAGCTGAACCACTACGGTGAATACAGTTTCGGTTCTTTTGTGGACGGTTTATAACTTTCTTACAATATATTTTACGGACATAAAGTAAATCTCAAATTAAATAATTTTTTTCAACTATGCTTGAATATCTTAATATTACAATTATTTTTAGTTGCTATTTTTTTATTCAGTTTTTAACAGACAATACTCTCTGCTTCATTAACATTAAACATTATTTTCTACGGTTACGACGTCCCAATTACGTAAACGGTCGGTTGGATATAGCGAATTAGCAAAGTAAGCAGGGAACTGTAGTGAGAATGTATATTTTAAACTAAAATTAAACGTTAAAATGGTATTGTTTTATTTTGCTATAAAAATGAAATTCCGTCAAGCAAGAAAAATTACAACACATTAAATTACAAAACAACCTTGGATATTACAGTTTCCAGAACTTCCGTATTGATATATTGCACTGGAAGTTTACTTTTAGACCTGAAACGTTTCCCATTCAGTTAAAGGGCCCCTGAAAAGAAAACAAACGTTTTTTTTAACTGTCAAGTTAAAACACGCATAATAAATAGGCTACGCCTCAGAGTAATGACACTTGCCCATATTGTGTCTCAAAATCATGGTTGCTTGTTATCTGAAGCTGTATCGGAAATCAGAAAAAACGCTTTTCCGTCCCCCGCAAATGATTAAACAGTTCGCGACAGAGCAAAGCAATATTACATGAGCTTCCTAACACCGAATCGAATGCTGATGAAGTTGGATTTTTGAATCATGACGATCGGCAGTTGCATCTGTTCTGCATACGCACCGAAATGGCGGCGCCCACAACAGTGCCGGGGAACAGAGTGCAGATACTCTAAGCGCAGCTTATTAAGTGGCTCTATTTAAGGCAAGTTGCAGTTTCTTATTATCAAAAATAGAGGGCAACACGTGTTCAAGAATAACTTGATGTACAGAGCGCGACACTGTTAGCGCGAACAAGCGATCGCCAGTTTTTTTGTGTTTTTCTTTTAGAACCGAAAGGTTGTCATCAAAGATATTATTGCTATAGAAAGAGCTCATTTAGGGCTCTAATATAAGGGCTAAAATTGTGGGCCCACTAATACTCTTTCCTAATAAAATGAGAAAAGGCGCCGATAACGTGTTCGCGCTAACAGTGTCGCGATGTGTACATTGTCGTCGTGTGCTGCTTGGAACGCAACGTGAAAGACAGAAAAAGGGCCAGATACTAGGGTCTCAGATGCCCGGATGCCAGCAGTGAGCAAGCCAGAGATGTCAGAACAACAAGCGCGAGGCTGCGGGTGCACCACAGCTGCTTTTGCGCGCATTTCACAGTGCGTCAATATACATGCCAGGAGCGAAAAAAAAAAATGGCGCCATGAAAGGGATTCAGCTAGTTGCAATTCTGCCACATATAACAAAACAAATTAATGATTTTATAAATTGTATAAATAATTTTCGCTATCAGTCTATTGTCAGACTGGTTTGATTATAGTTTGTTTTACAGCCATCTCGGTGGCTTGTAATATGCAATGATATTAAGACCTAACATTAAAACGCCTCAGTGACTTTGAGCCAACGCGCTGGTGCACCCTGGAGCCAATAAATGAGCTACGCTTAGACTATCGGCGCTCTCTTTCCCGGCATTTTTGTGGGCGCCGCCACATTGGGGCTTAGGGCAGAACAGACGCAAGTGCCGGTTGTAGTTATTGAAAAGTGAAACCTCCTCAGCATAGAGTTTTAAAATGGTACTTGTTGCTGATGTTATTAAATTATTCATGATCATTCATACTCTTTTAGACTGTAATATACGATACTCGAGTGATCTAAGCTAAGCCAACTTCTCTCAGCCCACAAAAAACAAAGCTGTTATCCTTTTTCCGAACGGCAAAATGTTGTTTATTTTACATACAATATCGACGGGAACACCAATAGAACGTGTATCAGTCAGAGAACATCTTGGCGTATGTGTTGATAGTGGTTCAAATTTTATAAACCATATATCTCTTGTGGTGCCTATAAATTCTTCTGAAGTATTAGAAATATAGTATCTCGATTGACGAATAATTTTAAGGACCCCCACGCTCTATTGCGTCTTTTCGATTCTTTAACAAGGTCACGACTTGAATTTGCGTCTGTGACATGGAACTTGATATCTAAAATGTAGGCCATGAGCATTCAATATGTGCAGAAAAAGTTATTAAAATTGTGTATATTATATTTTCTGAGCGGCGCTTCGATTATAAGTATGATTATGTACTAAAAATGTTTTCCGTTTCACTTTTGTCTTCCAGAAAAACTATTCGTAATTTGGTGTTTTTACTAAAGCTTATAAATGGGGCAATTTATTCTGCGCAGCTTCATGGGAAAGTTTATTTTCATCTTCCTTTACGTGTAATTAGACATTTTGTTTGTTTTTATGTTCACTCACCCTGTAATACTTCGTCACTTTCTCGGATCCAGTCCTTGCATAACAAACACTACCGCTCCACCTCATCTTGACATTTCGTCATCAATTAAATTGTACCGCAGCCAATCGAATGAGCGCTTATATGCCTCTTAATTTGTCCTATATCTTAATGGTTAACGTTTCTCGTTTTTATTTTATTGCTTTCGACGGTGGTGTACAAAATAAAATAAATTCTCGGTTGTTTTTGGACACCTAAATAAATAGTATTATTCGAATAATTTCGTATTATTATAAATTATATAAAAAAGGCACGAAATAAATGACGCTACAGTGTGTTAATGATACTTGTAAGAAGCAGGGCTCCACAAAAAAAAAATACATAGCTGTTGGCAACATTGCCGCTTCTGTTCGGTGTGCTTTTTTTTTTTTTTTTCGCTATTTTAAAGTGATTCTGCGTTTGCAGTGTGCGAATCATGCACTTCGATCTTTTCCTCCCTTTCCTCGCCGAGTTGTTCCACAACATCCTTTGGCAAAGGCACGTTTGGGCGTTAGGCGCGAGATCGAGACGGATGTTTACTCCAAACTTTGTCAGGAATCTCCAACCGCCTTGTGATGCGCTGTTGTTCAAAGAACATCCGAACTAACCGGTATCGCGAACTATTGTCTCGTGGAAGCAGCTCTTCAAGTCGACGCCAGCAAAACCTAAAGCCGGGATCACACTGCTTATACACGTTTGCAAGCATGGCGTCCCGACTTGTGCCTCATCCGCTCAAGCATGTGCGCCATGCGCGTGGAGGTGGCTTTGGCAGGATTGCAATTTCACGTGCTTGCTCACACGAGCAGAAATATGGCGGCGGCGAGGTGCCCTGTTTGCAATCGTGTATACAGCATACAAAATGAGGCAGTGTGAATGAGCCTTAAGGTTCATTCACTCTGCCCCATTTTCTTACGTTAAGATACGTTACCTATAAGTTACTGAAAGATTTGTGTTTCGAGTGTCGCGAGTCATGCTTTCTCCTTGAAATGGTAGCCTCGCTTGATATGAAGCACAGTGGAGCCGGTGACTTCAACGCAATATTTCATAACGTAACTTAACGTAAGAAAATTCGGCAGTGCACTGCCGAATTTTCTTGCGGTAAGTTACGTTATGAAATATTGCGTTGAAGTCACCGGATCCACTGTTCTTCATATCAAGCGAGGCTACTAGTTCAAGGAGAGGTCTATTCATATGTGGTCTATTCACCTTAGAGGTCTATTCACTTGTGAATAGACTTCTAAGGTAAAGCATAGTAAATATTCACCCTTAGGGTTTTACGAGCCAAACCAACACAAATGACCTATCACGCCCAATGAAAACAATTCCGGTTTTATTTTGATTACCTGGAGAGCTTTTGACGTGTAACCGAAATCCCAGATTGGCCTCCGACAAATTGCGGGCACTTTGGCCGTATTTAAATCTGACAAATATGAATTCGTGAGCCAGCGCGTTGGCCTAGAGACAGTAAGACATTTTAATGTCTTGTGTTTTGTTTTAATATAATTGCCACTTAAGGGCTTTTTATACTCCGACGTTGAGCGCAGTGACCGCAGCGTAGCGCAGAACGCGCCCCTTTCGTTGGCCGGCAACCAGGAACTCGATGTCAGCGGCCAATCAGTATCTTTGCGCGCTGCGATACGCCGCGCCCGTCGACGTTACGTTGGAGTATAAACGTACCTTTAAGAGCCACCGCGGTGGTTTTTAAAACAAAACAGAATCTAACCATTCCGACAAACCCGGTTAGATTCCGAAAATGATTTTTGCAGGTGATAAAAACATTAAAATGTTTTCGCGTGCGTGGCGTAATCCCAAATGGGGGAATCCCTTTCATGGCGCCCATTTCATTTGTATCGCGTCAGGCATGTGTACCCAATGTTACTGAAGCAAGCTCAGTTTTACAGCTCCCTACTCTCGCCTGCGAAGGCCAGTAGCCCAGGTGGCGGACACGAGAGCTAGCGGCGCTGCAGTCGGATCTTACTTCCCTGTCTCGCGCGTCGTCTGCTACCACCGCGTTAAGAGCTTCCTTTTCTTTTCCTTTTCTTCCTTGTTTTTTTTTTTACTTCCATGTGTATAATAGAAAAAAAAGATCATGAAGATAAAGTGTAATGCGCAACAAAGTTGAAAGTCAGCGCACTGTGAGAGTTCTTTCTTTGAGTGTTTGAAGTTCATTTTTGTTCGCGTCTGTTTTCTTGCGCTGTGAAGTGTTAGTATGAATCACCAACTCGCCCGCGCCCAAGTACTGCTATTCAAACTTGGCAGGCTAGACCATCCGGAAGTAAGACTCGACTGCAGCGCTGCTAGTTCTCGTGACCTTGACTGAGCCCACGTCGCAGGCGGAGCTGTGAAACTGAGCTTGTTCCAGTAACGTTGATGTGTACCGACGCACAGTAGGACGCGCAGCGTCGCGCTTGTTGTTGTGACATATTTGGCTCGCTCACTGCGGGTACAGTGTTCTAGAGAGTTGTAGTGGAAAGAGCGGCGGCCACCGCGTGAAGATTTAGCGCGTAGGCGACACCGTAGTGCTGCTGTTCTGAGCCCTAGAAACTGTGGCAAGAGGCTTGAACAAAGAAGAACGAAGCGCCGGCGACACACGCGCTTCATGTCTAGAGCCCAGCGGACATGGCTTCGTCTCGTCCTTCCTAGATATTGCTACAGGGACGTGCCCCCGTCAGCCTCGTCGTCGGCGCTGCTCGGCGTGTACTGTGGTTCGACTAGTACAGTGTAGTTCGATTGGAGCTTTTCGCGACGCAGGACAAGTGCTAATGTGAAAAATTGTAGGCTTTCCGTTGCACTAATGCCTCTAGACTGTGTGCTATCCTCTACTTTTATTATTCGCGTGTTTTTGATGGAGATCATTTGATTAATACCGACCCGCCCCCCTTCCCAGTTTTGACAGGTCGTTCTGCAACGCTATATCACTTGGGCTGCACGCTTAATAGCTGCGAAAGAAACCACGCGATACTGATATAACAGGGAAAAATAGACTAATAAATCTCAATAAATCTCTTACTTTTTTAATGGTGAGAGGAACAATAAACTGGTGTATTGTTTTTTGTCATCGTGTTGCTGATGCGGGGACCAGCGTTGTATGAAGTGCAAGGCGGAGCGCGTATGGGAACGGCTAAGGTGCCACTGCAACTGGCGAACATATAGCGAATAGTTTTTTGTGGAAGGCAGTCTATGAAGAAACAATACCCCTACTGGGGGTACATGAAGCATTAAAATGCGATATGAACACGAACTTCAACAACCCCTAATATGAAAAAAAGATATTATTCTCAACTCGCCTCTTTATGACTTCTCAAAAGTGGTAATACACTTAATCGACATATACAGCAAGCACATGACAGATATCCAGCAACCATAGTACGCAAAAAGACTACAAAATAGTCGTAATATATTGCGGCATAGAAATCTAACCTCTTCGCCATTGACGATGTGCACATAGTCCCGTACGATAAGGCGCGGTTCAAAATGTCCCTCGCACACCGCTGATGTCTCGGCAAGGCGTTTATCTTCTCGATTAAGATGACCTCGATTAAGGGAATGCCACACACCCACGTCGATTAAGACGACGTGAATGCGTGCGTCCGTCTTTTTCCTTGCATTTATGACCTGTAGTCTACGCGACTCCCCCTTTGGCGCAGGAAACAGCGACGGCTTACGATCGCTGGTGGCTCCCCTTGTTGACCGGGTAGCCCGACTTGCACCCCGGCGCGAAGCAGTGTGTGCGTCCGTCTTTTTCCTTGCATTTATGACCGAGACGGCAACGGAACGGGGAAGACTCCCTACCACTACACCACAAAGAAAAGTGCTACGGCGCTACGTTCGGGAGAAGCGTACCGCCTCAGCTTTGTCGTCTTCTTCGCTCATCGCACATCTGCCATCTGCCACAAATTCTCCTAGGGCACGCAACTCCAGCGCCACTCGCGGCATCTACGTTGACCGTCTTCACGCGGCCCATTGTAAGCGGGCGCCGCTCTTGCCACTGCACCCTCTAGAACACTCTACTGCGGGCATCCAGGCATCTGATACCCTTACATCTGGCGCTTTTCTGTCTTTCACGTGGCGTTCCAAGCGCCACATGATGGCAAATGCACATCAAGCTATTCTTTAACACTCGTCGCCATCTGTATTTTATATTAAGAAACTGCAATTTGCCATAACTGAATGGGAAAAGTTTGAGTCTAATAATATTCTTAACGTGTAATATATCAATGTGGAAGTTCTGCAAAATGTAATATCCAAGGATGCTTCGTAATTTAATGTCTCGTAATTTTGATTAGTTGACGTGATTCCGTTTTTATAGCGCCATAAAACAATACAATTTTACAGTTTATGTCTTTTATTTTAAAATACACATTTAGTGTAGAGTTTGTCGCATGCCTTTCTAATTCATTATATCTAAACGAACTGTCACGTAAAATATCGTGGACAATGGGACGTTATAACTCGAGAAATACTTTTTTTTCTGTATTAAAGACTGCGGTCTATTAAAAGCCGAATAATTAACTAACAACTGAAAATAATCGTAATATCGAGACATTAAAGTATTGTTGAAAAACATGTATTTAATTTAAAATAATTTTGTAGTTGTAGGATACATGGAAAGAAAGTTATGAACCGTCAAAAAAGCACCAAAACGTCATGCACGGTGGGGTTGCACCTTAAAAAAGAAAAGGGGTTCAACCAAAACAATGACTCATCCAATATAGACAGTCGTGCTGTGATTGAGGATTTCCCACCTCATATGGACAAAGCAGCGCAGCGGTGGGCGCTGCATAGATTGCCGCCTTCCGTAAACAGGGACCCAATGTGAACGTGGGCAAACTGGTTCTCACAGGCGGTACGGCGGTTGCAGCAGATGACGGAGCAGCGACCCTCACTATTTCCATAATGCCTTACGCGCGCCGCTCGAGGACGCGCGCTACTTTCCAGAAATGTGTTAAGCCGGACACACACTGCTTATAGATGCTTTGCAGCCGCTGTGCATGGGCGCCGCCATAACCGACCTTCAGTTCTTGTTTCCTCTTATTACATTTACTTCACTTCATCGTTACCATAGCGGGGCAGGTTATTGCCATTTTAGATTCTATAGCGTCCTTCTCCACAGCATTGGCCTTTCTGGAGGCTTGTTGACGCCCGCTTTAGTGGCTCGGCATCTGGGAAAGAAAATGGGGGCTGTAATTTGGCGCGTGTGTAAAGCGTCTATACATCATAAAAACGACAGACTGCAAAACACTTGTTGACAGTCGATTAAGGCACGACCAGTGGTACACCCCATTGCACGCGTGCATCCCTCGATGGCTTTAAATATGCCTGGTAAAGACGCTTGATTGACCGTTGTGAGAACGGCTGAAGGCGCACGTTCATCGCAACCCACTTTGTCATAAAACGTACTGTGGTTTGATCCCGTCAAATGCAAATGCACGAACTTTTAGAAGGCCTTGGTAGCTTTGTTATTGTAACTTTAGAATAGGTAACATATTCAAACGCAACACCCCTAACAATAAATTTTACTTGGATAACTGTCGTGACTTCTTCCACCCACACAAAATGATGTTGATGTAGGATGTTGTAGGACGTGCGTCATTGATATCTTTACGTGACAAAGTGACGTCAGAGTCACGTGATGTCACATTGTTACACGACGTCAGGACGTAAGATGACATCATGGTGTCACATGATGTCATGTGACCACACTAGGTGTCATTGGGCATCATCTATCTAGATATTTTTTATAATTATTTACGAGTATGTCACTTTCCGAGGAGATATTTGGCCATCATTCCTAAACATGATGTGCAGAATGTGCAAGATACATAAGTATACATTAGGATCAGACAAGGTGTCGCTGCTCTCACTACGACTGTACTGCGGATTCACACAGGATCGGTCATTATTTTATTTGGTGCAGGAACTGCAGTCCAACCCGGTGCTCCTATTCCAGTGCTACCGCAATGGGACTACCCCTGACAGGGAACTGTCCGTCAACTACACTTCGCTCTTCGACGGCACCGAACCAAACAACGGCAATGCCACCGTGACGCTATGGTTCGCCATCAACGGCACTGAAGATCAAGTCTACAAGTAAGAAGTCAGAATGCCTGATCCGTAAGCCAGAGGCTTCAAACTGAGAGTATTTGCTTGGCTTAGTGGAAGTTGAGCTTCTAGTCTTCTCTGCTTCAGTTTAGAGTGTTCGCGCTTTTGAGTTTGTCAGATAACCAGGAAATGTCTGCCAGTGAAAAGTGTGATTTTCGGCACTTCAAGCTATTTAGCCCTGTTTGAACAAATAAGCTTGTGCGGTAAAAACAAGCCTCTTTTGTTTTTATTTGAAGAAAGTACGCAGAGTATCGAACGGATGTTTTCATGAACATAAAAAGACAGAACCATGTTTTTCGACATGCTAATATTTAGACAGAACGAAGTCAGCCAGCCATCGAAATGTGGCGACTCGCCTCTCCACTGTAGAATCCACGAGAAATTGAACCTGTGCTAAAAAACTGCTAACCTGGCTTCTTTTTTCTTATCGCGCATCACGCACTAACGTTTTGGGCGCTTGACATGGAAACAAAAATAAACCAAGTTCCGTTATAATTATATTTCTTTATTTTATGCGTTCCAGGTTCACATTCGACGCTTCCTACGTCCCCGAGACGGACAGCATCACCTTCGCTTACGGAGGTGAGGGTCAGCGGCACGTAAATGATTAGGTCTTTAAAGGGGCCATGGAATGATATTGGGTTGGAATGTTCATGATTTTGCAGAGGCGTACAGGTCCTAGTCTTACCCAAGTGTGCTCGCACGAACCGCCACTGATTCAGTAGCTTCTTTGTCGAGGTGAAATAGCGCCGATAAAAGGGACTATTTTTTTTCAGTCTTGTTTAAGCAATGCTTAATGACGTAATTGTGGGATCAAAACCACCCGTCAGACGACAGTCGAGCGCGGCTCAATGATTGCACACGAAAACAGCGTGGGCACTCGACTTCGGTTCGTAACAATCAATGCCTCGGCGGACAGTCGGGTAGATGCTCCTGTCCAACCACTGCGGTGATGAGAATAGCCGATCTCTAACAATACCTGAAGCTCAGCACGCGTTTTCTACTTCGCTGACCCCAGCGTGTGGCTATGATCAACGTTCACGGTATGAGATAGGCACCAGGACCTCTGGCCGCTTTTTCTGACTCTGAGTTGAGGAGAGGAACGATGCTCATATTTTTCTAATTTGTTTGCCGACTGTCATTACTTAGAAAGAAAAACTAAGGCAGGTTTATTCGGTTATTAGCGCTAAGGAGTGATATTGAGTAGTATTTAGCGAAAGTGGAAAAAATATTGTTTCATGGCCTCTTTAACAAGGACTATGAAATTAATACGCAGGCTGGAGATATAGACGGATATATATATATTTTTAAATTTTATATACTGAAATATGTTAGAATTTACGCGTATAAAAACACGAGTGTCTTACCGAACAAGCACTGCACTGGTAGCTACAGGCGCTAACGGGAGAAATTGAACAGGTTGTCTTAGAAAGCTCGATAGTCTATTACTCGAGACAGACTCGGGCACGCGCGCTTTGGAGCATGCTTCAAAGTGGCAGCGCGAGCTCCTGGGGCGGTTTGCTCATCTTGCGGCCGCGGCCGCGGCTGCGGCCAAGAGGGATTTTTATGTCACGTGACCAGCTCCATGGGAGCAAGAAAGTACCGAGCGTCCCTTCCTAATGGCGTCGCTTTAAGCAGAAAAGCATATGATTTCGCTCGCAGAAACTAACTGCAGGGACTTTCAACTGGAGTCCAATGGACCGCCCCTTTACACTGTAGGAGCGGCAGGCAAAGTTACGGCCAGGAAGGGTAAATATGAGCCAAAATATAGGAAAAACGACGCGAGATAAAAGCGGTGGCAGTATATTTATATACCTCCACTAGCGCTGGCGGCTCGCCCCTTCTGCTGTGGTCGAGAGGTTAGAGAGCCGGTTCTTGACGTCGCGGCGTGACTTCAAGGTTAAAATCGCGCCAGAAACTCTCTTTTGTTTTTTGTTGTATTTGACTGCACACTAACTAATAACGTAGACAAGGCCCTATGAGATCTATAAAATCATTGCGTGGGTAGTTCTGATTCACCAGTTCGTTGTTCATGGCCTCGGAAGAGCGTATACATGTCTCTGGCCTTCTTTACCAACTTCTGCCACGCCTCCTGCAACTGCCGTGCACTCCGCGTAAAGTTTACTATATCTTCTCATGCCCGTCTCTTTCTTTCGCCAGGTAACTGTGCTGCTGAATTTCTCTAGAATTTGTTGTTTTCCTTTTCCGACTGCTCTAGTTAATTCCATTTGTTGATCCAAAGTAATTTTTGGTGTTTGCGTTGAGGGGTGGTTTGCGATGTCGACGCCTGATTCATTTTTGCATTCGGTTGTAATCATCTGCTATATAACTAAAATTAAACAAGTAATGTGTTAAGATTACAAAGCGATTGACACAGCAAAATGTAAAGAGTAAAAATATAACTTTTATCAGATTCCATGCAAGTAAAAATATGATCTCTTTTATTTCGGTTTTATGAGTTTCTCAGACGTTTGATTCGCTGCCTTGCCTGTAGGATTTCGCTCAACCAATGCATCCACTGCTGTTAGTCTTTTTTTTTTTTTATTTTGCTTATTTTGTGGAAGTTTTTTTTTTAAATTTTAATTGTTACGACTGCAGTTTTTATTAGTACTAAATAGGCGCCTCCTGTTATTGAAAAGAGTCGCAGCAAGAGCGTTGTATATTTAAAAACAGATAAAAGTTTAATTGCTGGGGAAAGAAGGCTTGTTTCGGTTTCGTTTGTGTGAAAGTCATACCGATACTGTTATCTTGGTTTCCTAGCTTTTATTGAACATTATAAAACAATTGTATCAGCACCGTTAGCTTGCCTTGATCTTTTTTTTTCTTCCCGATGTTTCGATTGAGCAGGTGGAACTAACAGTAAAAACCGTGCAAGGCGCAGTAGTGCAAGTGGATGATTTGTAAAAAGGATCACAGTAAAAAATGAGATACGCGCGAAATACAAAAAAAAAGAAGAAAAAAGAGGTTCCTAGCGCGATTTCAACGAGGAACTTTTCCGCTGCGACGACAAGTACTGGCCCTCTAACCTCTCGACCACAGCAGAAGGGGCGAGCCGCCGGCACTGGCGGGGATATATAAATGTACTGCCACCGTTCTTATCTCGAGTGTTTTTTTTTAAATTTTGGCTCGTATTTACCCTTCCTGGCCGTAACTTTACCTGCCGCTTCTACAGTATAAAGGGGCGGTCAATTAGACTAGAGTTGAAAATCCCTGCAGTCAGTTTCTGCGAGTGAAGTTAGGCTTTTGTACTTGAAGCAATGCGAATGTTTCCACCATTAGAGCAGGGACGCTAGGTACTTCCTCGTCCCTATGGAGCAGGTCACGTGACATAAAAATCCCTCTTGGCCGCAGCCGCGGCCGCGGCCGCAAGATGAGCAAACTGCCCCTGGTGTGACTGTCATTTTTAGGAAATTGCGGCCTGCCTGAATCCCTTATGGACATTTTGGTGAAAATGAATGTGCCTTCCACATTCGAAGGTGAAATAAAATACTGCCGAGAGGTTATATTTTTTGTAAAGATTTAGAGACCAGAACGGCAGCCTTTAGACAGACAGTTTGACTAAAATTCCTTGAGACTTATTTTAGAAGTAACGATAACCAATACAAATGACAAAGCACATTGCGCAGGTACAAAATGGCGGAATTCAGTTCAAACCTCTGCTGTGCGCCGCCATTTGATTCCTAAAACCTGCATCGTCATGCAGTCCGCGCTTCAGAGTGTCGCTACTTGTAGGAAGCTCTTACCTAGGGACTTTAAGTTTGACCAGTGCGTTATGAAGCTGTGTTCTTCTACGTGCGTCATGTTGGGGCGATGAAATGACCTCAAATCGTTACAGTGAACGTTAGTACCTAAGCGAACCGTTCGGCCGCAATCGATCTTTTCCGAGAAGAGTTGTGCGAACAAGCGCGCATGCCTTCCGCCCCTCGTTTCTGAAGATCACACCTGCTTTGCAGAGTGATTCCACGAGAGATCGAACCTGCAGGTACACTCAACATGTTTCTTTTTCTGTTTTTTTTTATATATGATGTACCCACAAATGAATTGCACGACACTGAACTTTTTTTCTCGAAAAAGCGTTTTCACTACTACAAAAAAATGTTTCAAGATTGCGCGACGGCCCTGCCATAACCGCAGACTGCATTTGTTGCCACCTTTGCGGTCCTGTCGAAGGCAGGCACGATGTGGTAGGTAAAAGATGTTGCCTGTTTCATGTAATACACCAAAGTTTTAGTCAACTGCATGCAATTATTATGTGCTTTTTGAATTAAAAAATTATATAAAAAATTCACAAATTAAGATTAGGGGCAACAAATACGCTAACTTTCAGGCGTTCTACCTCAATATGTATGACATTAGCGACTTTGAAAAGTGTACATAATATAGGCCAGGGCATCTAAATTATGTCTGCGAAATATGAAGTTCCGATCAAAATAGAAACATAAAAAAATATAAAAAACATATTTAAAAAAAATATCGAATAAAAAAAATCTTGATTTTACTAAAACTCTGGGGCACAACTCTCCTAAGGCCAGTCAAAAAGAAAGTACAAAAACATGTTGCATAAGCTCATTTGCTTGGTACTAAAGTTCTAAGCGGTCAAAGTGGCGGATGCGAAACGTCTTGACTTCCGGTGTTTTTCGCTTCACCCCGCTGCTGGTATATTTTTTATTCTTTTTTAGCAAAGAGTAACATTTTTTTTCGCCACAAATAAGAAATGTATGTGCTGTAGTTTGCTGTTAGAAACGACTAGTTATTTCCGGTTTTCTCTTTTCTTGTGGTTCTTTACGGGCATTCATGAAAGTTTACGTTCCTTGATCGCGCTTGGACTTCGCATGTCTCGTTTATTAAAACCGTAGGGAATAAAAAAACGACGCCTCGGGTACAAGGCTACGGGGCGCTTATGTTACGGCGAAGCCAAAGAGGAGGTTTATTTATGTTTGCCACGCGGGATACGTAGTTCCCGGTCGCGGTCGCTGTCGCTGTCAGGAGCTGGTAAGATATTTGAGCTCACGTTTGCCGCGGGGCAAACGTACGTATCCCCCTTGGCTCCGCCGTAACCATACTTGGGTAGTAATTTAATTACAGTGATTAAATTACTGTAATTTAAATGCTTGTCTTGGTAATTTGTAATTGTAATAAATTACTTTCGGCTAAAATGAATTGTATTTGTACTTTAATTACTTTCTAGTGTCAGTAATTGCGAAATTTTAGGCACAATTACAATTACTTTTACAAGACTTTGTTGAGCCGACGGAACCTCTCTGAAAGCCTCAGCGCTCGCACAAGCGGCCTGGCGCTCGGTGACACACTCGCAAACATAGACACGCATGCACATACACGCACAACAAAAATAGCATTGCGTTGTTGGTTGTTTTGTTGCTTACACTGCGGGCTGAGAGACAATCCTTTGGAGTCTACCTCAACGGCGCCGTGTGGCGCCGTCTGCGGAGCAAGCAAAGAACGATAACGTAAGCGTGCCAAATATTGAAGAAAAAAAAATTTAGCTTCAGCTTTCATTCGAGTTTAGAAATTTTAGTTCTCTATGTTTGTTTGTTTGTTTGTTTCTGCCAGTTTTATACGTT